TGGCGGTTAGAGAAACTCTCACAGAGATATTTTGTATTCTTATATACATAGAGTTTACTTTGTATTTTCATATACAAACAAAGTTCATATTGTATCCTTGCATACAAACTAAGTACATTGTATTTTTAAATACATTGAGTTTTTATTTATTATTTTAAATGCCTTATATAAACTGCATCTTTATTGTCGTTTTTATACTGCATTGAGTTGAGTATCCCTGAGTTAAGTTGAGATAAGGTAAGTGTTTCTTTCAGATTCCAGTTCAAACTTATGTCTTGTTTAGATTTCCCCTCTCATGCTCGTATATTCCATGTACTGACCCTATTTGGCCTGCATCTCTTAAGATGCAGATACAAGTAACCAGGATCAACATCCAGTGCTTCGTTGATCCAGTTGAGCTTCAGAGTTGTTGGTGAGCCTCCTTGTTTTCGGAGGATCCCTTTATTTTGCTTTATCATGTTAATTTAATTAGGATGTTGTGGGTATTGTCCTGATGTCCATCTAAGTTAGTAGTGGATTCATAGATAGATAGACACTAGTTCATGAGTCTTTTCATTTTTCAGTTGTTCATGTTAAGACTTGAGTTGCCACTTTGGCTAGGTGAATGTTTATTTCTAAAACATTATGAGTTATCGGCAAACTATCCTTTATGGTATGAATTTTTAGGGAGTGTGTTTCAATTCATAATGATCAAATTGTGTACCTTTTAGTACCAAACGCATAGTTTTATGTATAATAAATAAGAGCAAATGACAAAGTGTTGCAAACAAAAATTTCATAATTCATAATCAAGAAATTACTAGCATAAAATAATGAAATTGCAGTAGGAACAAGTGCAACATTTTGTAACACACAACTGCATCAGCTCTTACAACTCCATGTTTTGATCAATAAATAGATCAAACAAGGTCCCTTGTGATAGTGTAGTGTTAATTTACTAAGTTTAAATCAAGAAAACACTATAACAAAATAAATATATTTAAATTATAAATCAATTATAGAAGCAAAAGTATACCTCATTATCAACAAGCGAATCATGTTCTATAATTGTACCTCTGCCTAACCTGTTACCTCTACTTTTGTGTTGACTGGTTCTAGCACTACCTATGCCACCATGATTTCCACCACCCTTTTCACCAACCCTAACACTAGTTCTTCCATGATAACTAGCTCTGAATCCATATGCAACTGTGAACTTGGAAAGTGATATTTGATTTTTCTTCTACTTCGAATTGTGTGTGGCATGCCACATGAACAAATGTATTGGGGCTCTCACATAATTGTACCTTTAGTTTGATTTATGTCATTCAAGTCGGGGTCTGCCACAATCATCTCATCGGTCCAGTTTTGAAGATCATGCACAATTTTCTTTAAATAATGCTTAACATAAAGAACTTGCACGACAATGTCCAATGTTATATCACAAGCCTGATCAAAACACATCAGCATGTCCCCATATGTCTTTTACTTAAGATTCATATATGGGTAACCTCTCCAAAAGAATCAATTTTTCAAACGGGGTCGAATAACATCTTTTCTCCTCCTAGTCAATATATACCTTTCATCAATTTTAACAATCTTTTTGTGTGCCAAAATCTTGAGCATATATGACAACAAAATATACCTCTAGACTTAAACCGTTTACAACTACAATTAAAACAATCACCTCTAGGCCTATATTCAATTATGTATTCTATTGAAATTTTTAATCATTTTTATGTATAACTGAATAATCACTAATTATGATTTTTCAATATCGGAGATACATTCATGATTAGTGGGGTGCTGATTCACAATGATACTATTTTCTTTAACTACATCTTGAAAAATTAATACATTGTGTGAGTGTAACATTGAATTACTTATTTCTCCCACTTGAACAATGACTCACTTACAATATGAAATCCCTTCCACTTCCAACTCTTTCTCATGCTTAACTCTTATAGCTAACTTGTATTGATGCACAAACAACTTTAAGGTGCTTTCACCGAAAATATATCCATTAAAAAAATTCATACATACCCTTATTTTTTGTGTAAATAGCATACCAGTCCAAAAAAACACATCAGGATACGCTTGAACTCATTTCTCCTTCTCAATGTATAGGTTGTTGAATCAATATCTTGTTTGCAAATCATACTTTGTAATATATTTTGTCCATCTTATTTCAAAGTTTTCAACACTAATACTATCAAGGACCATGAACTTGAATTTTTCACGTGCAATTTTAGAATCAGAAAACTAGTAAAGAGGCAACTTCAAGTATATGTGTCAAATGTAATATCTATGTATAGTATGTGACATCACTTCCACAATGATTGGCTTAGTGCTCGAGAACTTATCGGTTATCATAGCACCTAGATGAATGTTTTCCATGGCCTCAAGCCAAGTACTAAAAATTAATATGTAACTAACGATATTTTTATGAGGCAAGAGAGCATATCCTAGTAGTATCGATTGTCTGTGGGGATTGATGCCAACAAATGAAGCACATGACATATTGTAGTGAATCACAAGATACAGTGTATCAAAACGTATAGCATCACAAAAGTGCTCATAAGCTTCCTTATAATGTTAATGCACTCATACCACATTTCACAACCTTCCCCTGTTGTAAACATTTATTGAATAGAAAAACTTTGTATTTCACTTGCATTTCATGAAAAAAGTTAAGCAATGATTGTGCATACCCTTGTTGCATTTCAAAATTCCTACAATCCTTTAGAGTGCAACCCAAAATTGTTGTCCACCACGTTAAACCTCTACAAGTCTAATTATTTTGGAGGGTTTAATTTCATATCGACCGTGAGCTACAAGACCCCTCTTCAAATATTGATTAATCAACATATGACCAGCCATCAATCCAGATATGATAGAGAGAAAATGATGATCGTTCTCATTAACAACTTAAGAGACACGCCAAAAGGGCAAAAATCATAGTTATCAACAACAATAGTGATCCTAACTTTACAATTGTCACTCGTTATGGTATACTTAGCTTTGCGATTTCTAGCCCTATTACAAATTTACAATAATAAGTTATATATCTAGCAGTGTTACCACCCATCTTGTTAAAATTTCTTTTTTCACTATAGAAAAACCATTCAATCGTGCTTGTTCTTTGTACAATGCAAATATTTTTTTTGATTTCTAAATCATATTTCAGAGATTGGACCTGTACCCATATCCTTTTCGGTGAAAGAATCATATGGTTCACGATCAACATCAATTTCTTTAAAGTCATCTCCTTAAATGTGTTCCCTCATCACTCTTAACTTCTTCATTATATTCTATATTGGTTTCTCTTGTAATGACCCTCCAGGTCATTTTCTTTGTTTTCCGATATTTTCAGCATTTAAAGCTTTCCTATAGAGGCCACAAGTTATTTATTCGATCGTCGGGTCGTTCATTTAAATTTTATGCAAGTTTTCATATTTTGGAGCATTTAAAACTTGAATCGTTGACTTCAATCAAAAGTTTAGGAAGACGGCCTCAGAATGCAATTTTGATGGTTTTATCAGCTCCAAAAGGGTCATTTTAGGCTAAGGGCATGGTTGGTTCGAGCCTCGAGATTTCTGGTGTGAGTTTGTGCCGTTATGCGTTTTAACTTTGAAGCTTAAGTCAAGAATTAACTTTGGTCAATATTCTTGGTAAACATGCTCGGATGAGAATTTTGTCAGCGCGGTTAACTTCGAAATGTCAAGTTTAGTCTAGAATGACCTTTCATGTGATTCCCTAGGCTTCCAATCTTATTTTGATCCATCTTGTGATTTTTAGCGTGAAATGGAACTTGGGTGTAGGACCCACTTTTCATCAAAACGACCTCGGATGGAAGTTTCGATGGTTCCGTTGAGTTTGGAATGTCAAATGATGGGCTAGCATATTTCATCTGCACGCACGGGGTTCCAAACAAATCCCAGACACCCCATTGGAGAATTCAAAGTTTGAGCAACCAGCTAAGTGTTGATATCTGGTGCAAGCTTTTTAGAGACCAAAATTTAGTACTTCTAGTGAATCAACTTTTAGTGACCAGTTTCAAGTATTTATACCTAGAAATTTCAGCGTTAAGCCCTCATTTTCAAATAACGATTTCTCCCTCATTTGGGCTCCGATTTGAGTGATTCGAATTCCTGTGTGATCATTGGGAGCGTGGCTACGTGGATGTGTGATTAGAATCTGTTAAGGAACCTTTGTTTGAGGTAAATTTGATATTGAATCTACTGCCTTAACTTACTTTTCTTATTAATTTTGCATGTGGTGGTTTGGGATGTTTCGGGCAGGGAATTGAGCCTCATTTTGGATCACAATATCGGTTAGTCGATTAGTAACTTTTGACGGAGTCAACTTTGGGATTCCCAGGGCGGATCCCACATTTTCATTTTGACTCAATTTCAGGTCCATTTCCAATTGTTGCAATTTTAGTGTCAAAATATTCGTAATAACGTTGTGTTTGATAATTCGATAGTTTTGCGGTGATCGGAGGTGCTTTGGATGCAAATAGCTCATATGTGGTGGATTGGGAGCGCTCGTGTTTGGCTTTGAGGTAGGCTTCGATTTACTTCTTGATTGGACTTCTAAGATAATGCTTCATATAGATTTCATGTAATTTTGGATGGTATTTTCTAGGTATTTAGTTTTCCTCTTGTTATTCCATCATTACTTAATTCCATAGGAGCCTTGGGTTTATTGTAGGTGTTGGGATCCTTAGTTTAGACCGTGGTTCACTTGTAGAGTAGATGATCTTGCTTTTCCTTGTAAGGATTGATTCGCAGTTGCCTTAGACTAGGTTGGACATTAGATGCTTTAAGTTGTGTTTTATTGCCTCGCGGTTATAATTTTCTTCATTTAGGGCTTATTTTGGGTCGTTCTCCTTGCGATGATGCTTGTGACCTTGGTGGCTCGTCATAGCCCTATGTTGGTCCTAACTGTGCTCAGTCTGGGACTTGAGCGACGTGATTGGGGTAGGGCATCATCCTTCGAGTTTTCTCCCTCTTTTATTGATTTGAAGTATCTTCTTGACCCCTTTGCTTGTTGATTAGTGATGGGCATGTTGTATCCTTATTGAGCTTATGATTATATTGTTGGACCTAAGGACATGTACGAGGACCTGTTGGATCCCAGGTTAGTACTCTCTGCTTTGGTAGCTTGGTTTCAGTGGTTGTATAATTATTTAATTTGGAGTGCCTTGTTTAAATGTTGGTGATGCATGTATTGCATTGTTTGCTCATTCTCATGGATTTTGTGGTACAATCCCCGCCCATGCATTGGCATATTTATCATTCATTATGAAGTACTATTTTACTCAATTTTTATTCTAAACTGGTTTTGACGGGAGTTGTACCACCTGAATCACTTGACTTACTGATTTTTGAGATTACGAGGCGTCAGAGACGTGCTCTTTTTTCTACTTGAGATATTAGAGGCATCTGGGATGTGCTCAGTTTTCACTTGAATATCCGGCGCATCGATGCCCTTTCTTGCATGCTTTTGGTTTTACTTACACCCCTGGGTCACTCTTGCTAGTTGGGTGGCTTATGCCCTTGGGAGTGGACTGACTGATTGGGCAACCTTGATACTTGGGATCCTCTTCGGAGTTGACACACCATTGAGTCACTCTTGCTAGCAGGGAGGCTTATGCCCCTGGGAGTGGACTGTGTGGCTGGGCGGCCTGGATTGATTTGTCACTCTTGCTAGCTGGGCTAGGAATTGACTGGAGTCATATGATTATGGTTTTGGATGGTCCTGTTGCACACCCAACATCCCTATGCATTGCCTATTACCAATATACTTGTTTGTTGTTTGTACCCTCTGGTTTATGGGGGCCGATTGGGTTATGTTTGATGTTTGTACCTTCCAGGCTTATGAGGTCCGGTTAGGTTATTGTTTGACTATATTCAGTTCTTTGCTATTGTTTTATTGTTACTTGGTAGGTTTTGACTTTAGAATTGTGGTTGTGTGTCCTCCTAACACTAGCCAGTTGACTTGTTATCTTAGTTTCTTGCGATTAGGTTATTGGCTTACAATCTAGGTGCGTTCTTGACTCGACTTCTTACCCCTTATTTTCTATTTCTATTCTTTATTTCCTGAATACCTTAGCATATCTTGTTTAATTACTTATGTTATGCTTTCCTTATTACTTGTTGTTTATGCTTGTGTAATCTTCTGAGCTCAGTTGGCTGTTGCATGTTGAGTACCGTTTCGGTGCTCATACTATACTTCTTCCCCCTGCAAATTGCTGCAGATTGCAGTTGAGTTATTGTCGTTGATTTGGAGTCATGCGGAGCAACTTAGGATTTCAGAGATTAGGGTGAGCTCCTAGCGTCTGGAGCTACCAATTTTTGTCTGTTTTGGCTAGGTTTAGTCTTTATATTGTATTCAAAGACAACCTGTACTTCTCTGATAATTGTGAAAGACTTGTACTCCTATTTTGGATTAGATGCTCAACTACTAACTAATGTCAGGTCTTGGGATGGTTCCTGCATTATTTTTGTTGGTTATCCTTTCTCTGCTTGGTTCTAAGCTCTTACTTCTTATTGTTGGCATCCGCTTGGTAGTCCGTCGCTCATGGCTCCGAGCTACGGGTTAGGCTTACCTTCTGGTGGGGTGTAGTAGGTGCCATCATGACTTGAGAAATTGGGTTGTGACATCTCTCTTATCATCTAAATGTACAACATTGGTGAAATTGTAGTGCAAATCGTCATCGACCTATTCATTTTCATTCATCAAACTATCAACTAATGTCATTCCTAAAGATTTGTACAACTCCTCCCTTACCCACTCATATCTATTTTCTTGGTTCATATACATGTTTGTAGGATCATCTATTGCTTCTTCGTCTATATTAATATGTTCTTGAGCTAACATTTTTTTCATTTGTATTCATGTTTTCTCGAGTTGTATTCATATTTTTTGGAGAGAAAGTCTAGTAGAGAAGACAAGAAAAAAGAGTTAACAGTAAAAGAATAAGAATAAGAAAGCTACGTATGTTGTAATTGAATTATAATTTTTTGGAATAACAAACACTTTAATATCCTTTAATTAAAAAAGAAAAGAAAAGAAAAGAAAAAAGACTTCATTTATTTTGGAAGAGAAATGTTAGTATGATCTTTGCACATTTGTGGCCAAGCTTTTGTGGGCATTTAGCACTTCCCAAAGAAAAATATACTACTAAAATGTTGTTAACTAATTTTAATAAGTTGCTTTTACTTAAGTACAACAAGTATATCCTTTTCAATGTTTTCACAAAATATCAACTTAAACCTTAAAAAAAAGGTGGAATGACCTGGGAGGCCCTCATACTTTATCCCGTTTGTTAGTTGGACCTTTATACTCACGACTTTGTCAACTAGTGGCGGAACTAGGACTTTCGTCAAAGGAGTTCATACTTTAGGACAAGGCGAATTTGATCAGCCTTAATTAGTTGGCTATCTTTCTTTACTATGTCGAGGGTGTTCAACAATTAGTATATATATCCAAAAATATTGATATTTAACATATATACTCACAAAAATTTTCCGATGAAGGTTGTTCATCTGATCACCCTTGTTAAGGTGTAGGTTCACCCTAGAATTTGTCAACTGAACCCTTAAACTCACTAAAACATAATATTTTAAACCCCTTTCACATTCGATGTATGTGCGCATAGCACAATCACTTACATATGGAATTCCATGTCATTTTACAGAATTTCATGCCATTTTTAATGCCACATAAAAAATTAAATGTTAAAAATAAATTTAAAAAATAAATTTGCACATTTCGAAAATCTTCAACATCATGTTCTTCATAGTTGTCCATAATTGAGCACTAAATTCGTGTTAAATTGTTATAATTTTTTCCTATTTGACTTGAAATTTTTTACACTAAAAGTTCACCAACACAAACTCAATAATTTTTCATCATAATTTTGGTTTTATTTCATAAATTCACAAAATCCATTTATTGTTCTTCAAGCTTCTTCATGAAGTTTTTTTACTTTTCAATATACACCATTACTTTTCACAATAACTCTTACAAGATTTAAAAAATACTCATAAAACTAAAATTTTAGGGATGAGAGTGTTGTAGAAGGACTGGGGGTGGTGTAAATTTACAACAAAAGAGAAATTTTTTGCATAGAAAAAAATTCACTTTGTTTGAGAAAAACACTGCATACAAATAAAGGTGAAGGTGAATTTTTCAATCTTATCCCTCATTTTCACCTCCTTTTCCTGCAAATATTTTCTATTCTTTTTTTACTCTCAAGGCTTCAAGATTATCTAAAATTTATCAATTCACAAGCAAGATTCGAAAATCCATCTTTTAGAAATGTGTAAATCGATCAAGATTCATAGAAAAAAAATTTTAATTTCAAAATTAAAGAAACCAAAATAGAATTTTGAAATAAAATATTTGATTGGTTGGGGTGAGGGGTGGGTGGAGCGTTAAGAAGAAGATTAACCCTTAACCAGAGGTCTCGGGTTCGAGCCCTGGGTATGGAGAAAATCTTGTTGGTGACTTCGAGCCCTGGGTATGGAAAAAATTATGCTGGGAGCGCCACCCCCGAATGAATCCTGCAGTGCGCGATTCAGATTTAATCGGAGCTCTAATGTGGGCTCCAGACATGGGGTGGGAAACCAAAAAAAAAAGTAGAAGGAGGAGGGGTGGGGTGAGGGTGGCGGGTGGTTTCAAGGAAGAAGGAGAGCATGCGGTGGGGGCGGAAGGAAGAAGAAAATTGTGGGTGGGGTGGGGGTCGAAGAGTTTAATTTTTTCTCTATCTTAGTTTAAGTTATTTTTTTAATACAAAAAAATATATTCACCAATTTTAAGACGTATATAGTTAAGCATTTTTCCAACTTAGCAATAACAATGTCACATAAATTCGGTCAATAATCAGCCGTGCTTAAAATATTGTGTTTTAGTAATTTTAAGAGTTCACATGACAAAATCCCAAGTATAAAAATTCAACTACAAACGGAGTGTCCCGGACCATTTCACTCCACGTTTAAATTAAAAACTAGTATGTACTACTAGTATAGTATAATAAAATTCAAACCGCCTATTGTTCTCCTTCCACTCTCACATGTAAAAAAGTCATTCTTCTGTGAAGTTGTTGGTTGTAAAGGAGAAGAAATGAAGTTTAAGATAAATTATGATACAATAAATTATCCATCCACAGTGTCATTTTAGCCTGAAAAAGGTAAAGAAATCGAACATGTTCTTCCCCTTTTTCCTATTCACTCACAGCATGTGACATCTGACACATTCTTCTTCATCTTCAACTGAAACTTGGATCGGTTACACGCACGCATATATTGTTGCTTGACGTTATCTTTGATACCAAGTCAAGTATTTGGTTAATATTATTTTTTATTTTTGCGGTCAATGGCTGCTTCTTCGTCTAGAGGACGAAGTAGCTCGCCCTTTCAATATCGTAAACAATCAACTCCATTTTCGTCTTCATCATCTTCAAATTCCTTCATGAATGGTGGTCGTCTTATGCCTCGATCAGTCTCTTCTTCAACCACATCGTTTATTGACTCTGGCTCTGGCTCCAGATCCATGACTCCCAGCCGGAACCGAACTGATTTAGCTTATTCACGAGCTCATGGGAATCGTTCGCCGGTTAATTATCCTTCGGCTGAGGAGTTGTTGGTTAATGAGCCAGTGGATATGTCCAGATCGGGAGAGAGTATTTCTGTGACTGTTAGGTTTCGGCCAATGAGGTAAATACTAGATCTAGCTCATTTTATTTGGATCTGTGTACTGGTTTATTGGAGGTGTTTTGACGTTTGAAATTGAGTTTCCTGACAATGCGGTAAGGATTTGGTGTTATCGTGTGGTGGCAGTGAAAGAGAATATCAGAAAGGCGATGAAAGTGCTTGGTATTCAGACGGTGATAAAATTGTGCGCAATGAGTTTAATCCTGCAACAGCTTATGCCTTTGGTATAATTCTACCAATTTTTTTTTAGTCTTTTCATGATTTTGATTCTGCTGGCTGTGAAAAATTTAGTGTATTAGTATTTCGGGAATAGTATGGAGTTTAAATATTTTTCCCGATCATTTCTTAGAAACTGGCATTGCCTTTTATGATGGCTATTCCAAGTTTAATTTTTTTTTCTTCTTCATATTCTGATTTCTAGATAAAGTTTTTGGACCTGATACAAGTACCCAGGATGTTTATGAAGTAGCTGCGCGACCCGTTGTCAAGGCTGCTATGGAAGGCATTAACGGTATGATAATTGATCGTTGACGTGTAATATCTGCGAGCATGTCAGCTTTTGAGCTAGACAGAACATGTCTATGAGTTATTTCGTTTTACATAATTCAGTTCAAAGGCCTTGTTTGAAGAAAGCTAATCTCTGCCAAGTGATTAGCAATAGTTGAGCTATCCACCGAATGTACTGATAGTACTAGACTACTCACAGTTCCAAGGGACTACATTCTTGGGCTGAAGTTTTTTTATTTGAGTGTAGCGAGTTGCATTTTCCAGTTCAGTTTCATTGACACAAGATCTGCTGATTATGCAGGCACAGTTTTTGCTTATGGTGTTACAAGTAGTGGCAAGACACACACTATGCATGTAAGTTATTCCTTTGGGATATCTCCTTTTTCCTTGAATTTCACAGAAGCTTTGCTGACTTATGCTGCATCCCATACAAACAGTTTAGGATTATTTAACTGCTAACACTGACAAAGTTAGTTTAAGAATATTTCTTTATAATTTCATTGGGCTAGTGGTCAATGAAAGTGAGTTGAGATACATGAGGTCGTAGGTTCAAATTTTAGAGGAAGCAATGATTTTTCCCCATCTGTCCAAGCCTTGATGGATAGAGAAACTCAATACTTGTGCTGGTTGGAGGTAGCAGATGCCCTATAGAATGAGTCGAGGTGCACGTGAGCTAGTCCTGACACCACATTTAAAAATAATTTCTTTATTAAAAAAAAGTTAGTTTAAGAACATTGTGTTACTTTAATATCAGTTGCATTGTTTAAATTGGACGATCAAACTTAGTATTTACTTCATTTTGATCCCTCATTTGCCAAGAATATCCCCCCTCCCCCAAATTAGATTAAGGATATATCCTTATAAAAGCGCCGTAAGGCCCGACTAGTGGTCAATAAAGTAGGTTGAAAACCATGAGGTTTGAGGTTCAAATCCTAGCGGAGGCAAAATACTAGGTGCTTTCTTCCCCATCCTTAGTGGATAGAGTTACCCGATACTTGTGCTGGTGAGAGGTAGTAGGTACCTTGTAAAATTAGTCGAGGAGGCAAGCTGGCCCGGATTCCACAATTATATATAATTTATTTTTGATAACCGTGGTGTCCAGGCCCTCTTGCGCGCACGTCGACATATTTTACGGGGCACCTCCCACCAACAACGTGTTACTCTGCCTACCAAGGCTAGAATAGATTGAAAGAAATCACCTAGTGTTTTTGTTTTTAATGGGGTTTGAACCTGAACTTCATGGTTCTCAACCCACTTCATTGGCCACTAGACCACCCCCTTGAGTGCATTTCTACAGTATATATATATATAAAAGAACGTAGTTTAAGAATACAGTGTTATTTTTATGTCTGTAGCATTGATGAAATTAATGGTTAATTAAGTATTGCTTCATTTTTATCCTTTATCCTCCCCCCCACCCCCACCCCC